AAGATGGAGAAGTTGACCAAGACATACCTTAGATATATTGTTAGATTGCATGGTGTACCACTATCTATTATATCTAACAGATATAGTAGATTTACCTCCTGATTCTGGCTAATTTACGACCTATCATCCTTAGACCAACAGTCAAAGTGAAAGGAATATCCAAATGCTTGAGGACACGCTAAGAGCATGTTTGATACATTTCATAAATGCATGAGACACTCACCTCAATTGATCGAGTTCTCATACAATAATATCTATCACACGAGCATCAAGGCTGCACCATTTGGAGCTTTATATGGTCGGAAGTGTTGATCAACTATTTGTTGGGTGGAAGTTGGCGATAGCCAAATACCCAATAAGTTTGTAGTAAACACCTTAGGAAAATGTGCATAGATTATCCATAAGACAAATGAGAAAATAGAGTGAATCCGCGAGCACATGAAGGCAACACATGATTGTCAAAAGAGTTATGCTGATATAAGATGCAAACTCCTTGAATTCCAAGTTGGAGATAGTGTTATGCTTAAGGTCTCTCAATGGAAATGAGTTATAAGGTTTCTAAATGTAGGGAAAGCTAAACCCTAGGTAGAGATGACTGTTTGAAATCCTGTAAAGAATAGGTCTGTTGGCCTATTGACTTTTGGCTTCCCCAAGATCTCAATAACGTGCATGACATCTTCCTTGTGTCCAATCTTAAAAAGTGTCTCTCTAATGATAAACTTGTCATTCCTCTCGATGGAATCGAAATCAATCCTAAGTTGAAGTTCGTCAAGGAACGAGTTGAAATTATGGACATAGAGGTCAAACGACTCAAGCGGAGTCAGATTTCCATATTTAAGGTAGGATGGAACTCTAAGTGAGGAATTCAATATACCTGATAACATGAGGATCAAATGAAGAACAAGTACCCTCACTAGTTCGAAGGAATCCTGACGATAAGATAAAATTTCCGGAAGAAATTTCTAAAACTAGGGGAGAATGTGACAATCAAGAAAATTTCCATAACTAACCACCTCGTTAGGAAATAGTAGGAATAGATAAAGATAGATAAATGTAATAGTTTAGTATTGTAATGCATGATCTAGTGAATAAATATAATCAAATATGTTGTTAAACTTAGAAATAATTCGATGTGTAGACTAAAAAAGAAGCGTCCCAAAAGTTGTACTGTCTTTTAAAACGGTTAATATATTCGAAAAGTACTCGTCAATGTGATTACAAGGATATAAAATTGGTAAAAATGAATCCGATTGGAGGAGTTATAATCTTTTGTAAAAAGTAAAACCAATCACATAAATAATTATTACGACGTTGAAACAGTACGTAGAGATTGGTTAAGTTTTGACTAAAGTTATAAATAGTATAATTGGTGGTTGTTGAGGCCAACAAAATAAATACCCTAAATATTACACACTAAAATAGTGTATAGTGTTAAAGGTATCGTATCCACAGATATTGGTTCAATATATATCTCTATGAAAATCACTTGGCCAAATACATGTACAAAATAAAAGTAAAATGGGGGGGGGGGGGGGGGGATTAAGTCTTTTATTGTTTGATAAAATTAAAACTATGCTAGAATGTTGAGATGGAAAATAAACAAGTAGATGATTTGGTTTGAGTTCAATGAACTAGAGTTGGTTGATTTTGGAATACACCAAATTGATGACATAATTGACTTATCATTAGACTAAATGAAACAACACTCGTGAATTGATTTAACTTGGCTATATCAATTCATAAGCACAAATTACCTTAACTCTTCTTTGTTATTAAAATGGTTAGAGGAACTCAAAACACATTTCCTTAATTAAAGTCACAAAACCAATGAAGCATATAATCTTGTGAAAATCAATTGGCTTTATGTTTTAAGAGTCACCAAGTCCAAAAGATAATTAAATGCTTACATTATCATTACGGCGGAAACATTTCCATGGTTTAATTGAAATGAAAACAATCATAGAAACCATTTGTTGCTTCTAATTTGAGGGTCCATTACTTAACCAAGAAATTAGTCAACAAAATAAGCATTCATTCATGAAAGATTATGATTAAAGACAAATAAATAGAAGAAGATGTTTGACTAGAAAACATTTCCATAAATTTCAGACACAAGATAATATGAAGTATTCAAAGCAAATAATCATTCATGGGTTAAACCCTAATCAACCAAACATAAATCTAGCCAAGCATGGCAAAAATGAAAGAATACAAAGTGGTTTAGAGGTAACAAACATTGTTCAAGATACAAAGATGAAAGAAAAAAAATACTTCAAGCTTCCAAGTCTTCAAAACCTTCTAGAGAGAAAAAGTGTGTTGTTCTTCCATGTGTTCTCCCTTCTCTACCTTAAAAATTCCAGTAAAAAGTGTCCCAAATTCGGATCCAAAAGTTGGAAAAAAGGATCCCACCAACTTTCCTCAAATAGAGGCTCATAGAAAAATCTGGATTCTTCGCATCACGATTCATGCGTACCATTTGTGGATCCGTGCGGACCGTGTGGGTCTCGCTACATGGGCTCTTTGGCCCATTTAATTGGCACTAGTAGTTTACTCTCCTCACCCATGATCCAACCCATTTGTGCATGTTCTAAAGAGCCCAATTACGCCTTCCAAACTTTTCCAAGATGTTCAATTTCTCCTTTAATCTCCCATAGATCGATTCCTCTTCACTTCATGATCATTGTTTATCCAAAAATAAAGCCTAAGTCGCTTTCTTGTTCATATTGACAACAAGCCCAACCACACCACTTCAAGTCCCCAAGCAAATTGTAAGCCTCTAAAGGTCCCGCACTTCTTCCATACCTTTATGTTGAAAAGTCTTTGGTAAATCTTGCAATTAAGATCAAAAGACTAAAAAGTACTCCATAAAGGTGAAAAATAACAAAAAGTGAAAATATGCATAGATATTAACTAAACCGAGATGGAATGAACTAAAAATAGACTAGGAAAAGAAGTAAATAGAATCAAAATTATCAAATCACCCCAAGATTCAACCTTAATTTTCCTCAAGTAAGACAAGACTAAATTGAACTTGGGATGCACTATCCAAATAAGGAAAATAAATGAACGTCTTAGGCAGAAATTCACTACAACACCCTTAGAATAAAAATATATAATCCATTTTTAGAGATAAGATCTGATTTAAGGGCGAGCCTTAGTTATCTTTCTAGCAAGGGATACATGTTGAACAAGATACAAAATGAACATGCATACTTTAGTATTATGGTTTATGTGAAATTGTTTGGTGGCCCGATCTAGCCGACAAGCCATAAGAAAGCATGTCGTAGTTAGAATGTTCCTTACTCCTCATAATTTCAACCTCGCACCAAGAAATAAAACCTAGAAAAGATAACCCAGGCTAAAAATGGCTAGGAACAAGCTATGTACAAAGATTGGCAAACTACAATTATCTAGAAGAATAAGTGCTTCCACCAAAATAAGGTCCATGTAGAGCGAAGAATCGAGCACACGGTGAGTAAAGGGCGGGGCGTTATTGTAGTTGCCAACAAAAGATGAAATCTAAATTAGAAAAATATCAAACTAGAAATGAACTACATAAACTAAAATCGAAAAAACAGCTAAACATCTAACAAATGAAAAATGGATGCAACTCCGTGGCCCGACCCTACCCTTTTTATTTTTGTTTTTATTTTTATTTTTACTTTTTATTTATTTATTTTTAAATTTGGCTCACTTTTTTGGTTTACCATAGGAGTTTTACATAGGCTGCATCACGTGAAGAAAAAAAGATACAAGCACAACTATATAAAAACTAAGAATGACATCTAAATCTAACCCAAACAAGAGGCCAAGCGAGTGAATCTAAAGAAACTAAGTGCTAAAGTTGAGCACAACTACACCAAGGCTAATTTGAGATCAAGTGAGAAAAACGTATCTAAATCATAAAGTGATGAGATATGATGTTTAATGCAGCAGATAGACACTAAGAATATCAAAATAGAAAAATCTAGTTTTTATTCTTTTGTTTGGGGTTTGATTGTGGCTTGTAAGGAACATGCAAATGAGGAACTAGTTGGCACGAGGCTAACTTGTTCCTCTACTTATTCGACACTTCCCATAGTTGATTTATATGCATAACTACTTGCACTCTATCCCCATATATATATATATATATATATATATATATATATATATATATATATATATAAGAAGATGAAACAACTGAAAGTCCCTATGAGTTTCCAAAAGAATAGTAGTTAAGGTGTGTCGAATCTTTCAAGTAAAGATGTTCGGAGGTGAGAGTAAAGAGATAACCAAAATGCATGAATGCTAATGCCCTAAGCTAAATGCTACACAAAAATAAAAAGTGGAAAATAAGAAAATAAAATATGGGGTTTTAAATAAAAAGTGAATGCGAATTATCTTAAACTAATATGATATGCAACCTAAAATAATGCATGAAAAAGTAAAAGAAAAGGGAATACCCCTCCCCAAGCTTAGAAATAAACATTGTTCTAAATTCTTGGGGCGAGGCGAAAGTACCTAAATTGGGGGGGGGGGGTCGGTAGGGGGATAAGGATATTGAGGGTAAGGTGGATGGTCATGGATTAAAAAAGTAAAAGAAAAGGGAATACCCCTCCCCAAGCTTAGAAATAGGTATTGTTCTCAATTCTTGGGGCGATGTGAAGGTATCTAAATCGGGGGGTCGGGAGGGGGATAAGGATATTGAGGGTAAGGGTAAGGTGGATGGGGATAAGGATGAGTGGGGGGAGGGTACGGATATGGAGGAAGATGTGGTACGTTCTCAAAATGGTTTTGTGATTAGTGAAAGCCGCACATATGATGCATCTATTGTGACATGATTTGGTTGGTGACACAAAGAGCCTCAAACTGTTCGGTAAAATTTAGGGGGAGCTAGTAATATCAAGGGGTAGTTGTGGTTAGGTTTGCTGGGGATCATGGTTGGGTTCATCACCGGACTCGTCATCAAAGTGCGTCTCATCTTCGTCTTGAGCATAGAGTGCTTCCTCACTAAATGTCTAGGTGATGGATCTCTCGAGTCTCCTCTGAATGTGATCGTGGAAAGTAAAGTGGGAGACTCGAGGGTCGGGAAGAATAAGATATTCGACCCCTTGAAGAAAAAACCATGTGAAACCGACTCCATTCCTATGACGGATGTGATGCATGTTTGTTAAAACACACTCATCCAAAAGAATTTTGTTGTCTATGGGTGTGTGGTCGTCTGGGAGGTCGATGTCAAGACCACGGGCTAAGAGGGTGAAAAATCCTCCAATGCAAATATCACCGGATGCTTTAGTTTTCATGAGTGCACATTTGTAAAAAAAGAACAAGGCAAAATTTGGGGTCAGAGGGTTTTCACATCTTGTCATGCACCAAAGGAAGAATACCTCAATGTTCGTGACTTGGCCGACTTCTTTACGGGCAAAGACGGTGCACACAAAGATACGATGGGCAATAAGGAGGCACAGGTGAATGATGGAGTTTGCCGTATCACGAATGAAACAAGAAAAGATACCACCAGTAATTTTTTTTTTCCAAAAGGTCTCATGGTTGAACTCGGCTGGAAGTGAATCGAAGGTTGTGAATGTGTTCGAGGAAGGTAAGCCCAAGATGTCGTTTACCCTTGCGAAATCGATGTGCATCGGATCCCCCATAAGTTGGAATGCAACTTTTTTTTTTCTCATTGTCTAACCCGCAGTCAGCAAGGAACTGTCTAGTAGGAAGATAGTATGTATGTGCCATGAGATTGAGAAGATTCTCCCACCAGATGTTACAGAAAAATTGAGTAACCCCATCGAGAACTCCCAATGCATTGAGCGTGGATTTGCGCACAATTTTTGTTGAAGCAACTTTCCTAGGAAAACTCTTTTTGTAGTTTTCAACTGCCTTTATGTCCTGGAAACTTGGAATGTTTGGTTCCTCATTTAGAGCTCTAACTGGAGCTTTACCTCGGGTGGTAGCCGAACGCTTTCTTCAAGTGGACACGACCAACCTAAAAACAAATTTGCGACCATGCGGACAAACAATTCCAACAAATAATGATGCAATTCAATTCACCAATCGACTCCCTATGGACTTCTAAATTGGGTCAACAACCAGTGCAAAGTATATTTCCTAGACTCAAATGATGCAATGTCATCTAAGTTTTCATTTTAAAACATGCATACATATTATTTAAAGTCAACGAAGTAATGTACCCATTGGCGACCACGAATTTGAAAATCAAATATTGTGCGCAAAAATTCGGAATTTGAGAGTCTTTTAATACTCCAACCCAAGCTTGAAGATTTTTTCAATAGCCCATGAGAAGTAACTTACCGCGAAAACCTGAGAAATCCAGCAATGGCTTGAAATTCTAGCGAAATTTTTTGGCAAGCTTTGAGAAATATTTATATTGGGGTTTGTAGCCAATACTAAAAGGAATACAATGGTGGCATCAGAATTTCGGTATGTGGTCGGAGGCACCGGAAAATCAAATTTTTCGGAAAGTGGGTGGTGGTTGGAGGCTTCATTTTCAGGGTGGATCGGGGAAAAATTTAGATGGGAAATGTAGAGCTTGAAAAATGGAAGAGAATGTCGCTAGTTTCACGCGATTCCGACCGGTGGTTTGACAGCAAATCGAGTTTTTGTGTTGGAGATGAAGGTTCTTCAACGGAGGTTGCAGAGAGAAGAAAAAGAAGAGCGGAGAAGAAGAATGGTTGTGTGTAGGGTTAATGAGGTGTATTTTTTGGTCATACATGGTCAACACCCAGGTCAATGCAAGTCAACGCCTCATGCGGACGGATTCCCAAGTACATGCGGTCCGTATGAGTCGTGCTGACATGATTCTGAATTCGAAAGATGATGCGGTCGATTATGGGGAGTACACATGTAGTGTTTTTGTGGCACGCGGACGGCCCATCGATTACACGCAGTCTGCATGAATGCTTCTGAAAATGCTTCGAACTGGAAAGATGACGCGGTCGATTATAGGGAGTACACACAAAACATATTTGTGGCACACGGACGATCCTTCGAGTATACACGGTTCGCGTGAGTGCCCCTGAAATGGTTCTGAATTGCTTATCTTCACGCAATCAGGGCCACGCGGACAAAGGATCAGATGCAGACCATTTGTGAACCCTTTTTGTGAAAAATCCCAAACCTCCATGCTTGAACTGAATGAACATCGGGACCTCAAAATTCAACACTCTTTCACTTCAAAATGAAGAAGAAATTACAAATGAAAAAACAATTTTAGCTAAAACATTTATTCGAAATTAGAAAGGGAGGAAAGCATAATGCATTCCAAAAACGCCCCTCTTTAATGTCTTTGGCGAGATGTCTTTCCTTCTCGATTTCAGTACACCGCGGTATCCAAATGGATGTCAACTAGGACATTTGTATTAAAACCTTCATAGAAAGGTTTCAAACGATGCCCATTAACTTTAAAGGCTTGCCTTGTTTCTTCACTTTGGATTTCAATCGCTACGTGTTCAAACACTTTTAGCACAATGAATAGACCTATCCATATTGACCTTAATTTTCTGGGAAATAACTCTAAACGGGAATGATAGAGTAAGACTTGTTGGATTAGTATCTAAGTCCATAACTATTTTGGTATGTACTTGACCCGATGGTGCATGGTCCTTTTGGGTTGCCTTCACCAAAGCAACTTGATAGGATGAATTATGGAGAGAAAGGATTAATTATGATTTATTAATATATTATGAGAATAATATATTAAAGGAGAAATCATATCGTTTAATTAATATTAGTCAAGAATTGATTGATAATTAAGTTTATGGCTAAAAGAGATTAATTAAACTTAAGGGACTGGAATTGTAATTATAAGATAACTGCAATTGGGCTATGGATTACCTTATATTATAAGGTTGGACGAATTCTATGGGGAAACCCATTAGAAATCGTCCAAGGCTTGTTAAGGAAGGAGTCCAAGGGTTGCTTAGGGCTTAAGCATCCAAATTAGGGTTTCCTTGTTAGATAACCCTAATAACCTCTCTATTTAAAGGACCCTTAAGTCTCAAAAACGTGGTGAACTTGTTCTTTAGGGTTTCCACACGTTTTGGGCAGCCTCCTTCTCTTCTCTTCTTCATCCTCTTGCTCTTGGTGTTTGTGAACCATTAGAGGAGTGGAATTTGTGATTCTAAGCTTTCTAAAGTCAATACAAGAAGGATTTGAGATTGTTATTGCTACATAACAATCAAGGTATGATCTAAACCCAAATTCATATGTTATATTGACTATCATATACTAGATCTAGGGTTTATAGTCTTGGATGAATTGCATGTACAACAGAGAAACCTAGATCCAAGCATTAGGGTTTGTATGAGCACATAGGATGTTCTTATGGCTAAAACCCAACAGTGGTATCAGAGCCTTGATTGGTTTCTATTGTATTGATGCCTTGTATGTTTGTTCAAGTTGCAAAATCAATTTTTAGCCAACCTGCCTGATGAACTCGGCGAGTCCCATTGTGGACTCGGCGAGTAGGCCCCTACTCGGCGAGTTCGAGCGTCAGAAGGAGGGGATTTCGGGATTTCTTGCTGTTTTACTCATGGATACTTGCCTTATCTGTTTTAGGTTATTAAAATCCGATTTTAAACATATTGATGAGTATATCCTTGATTAAACAAAAGATAATTACCAATTGATTAGATAATAACTTCCTTATATGATTAAAGTTGATTATTTGTATTAATTGGGTAACTTATTTTGCAAGAAATTGAGATTAGGTCGAATATAGATAATGATAAAATTAATTGTTTAATTTATATTATTTGTTATTTGATCCTTGTGTTATGAAAAGTTTCAATTTTCCCCTTTAGGTTTTGTAGTTTAAATTTGAACTCAAAAGTTTTGTTTTGAAATTTAAATAGTTGAAACCCTGATGTTTTGAAATGTTTCAAAACCTTCCCTCAAGTTTTGGAATTTAAAAGTTGATTACAGGTTTAATTTAGGAATGTTAAATTCTAAAACCCTAGTATTGTTTTGAAAAGTTCATATCACACACTTATGGTTTTATTAATTAATTAAGATGTATAATTAAAAGAGATTTAATAAATCCGTATAGTTTTTGGTTTACATTTAATTAAATTAAGGGTACAATTTTTAAATTAGACCAACTAGTATTTTAAAAGTGTAAAATACACATTATACTATATATAACATTAAAAGTCTAACATTATATATATGTATGAGTAAAAGTCAGTCTTACCGTTAGTAGGCCTCATTCACGAAGCTGGTCTATAAGGGGTGTTTAAGGAAATTGCCTTTAAAATGGCGATTGAATGGGTATCCACTGTTACCCACCGCACTCTTGACTAGTGGAGGGTCGTTAGCCGAACGGGTAGGTTAGGATAGTACTTTAGGCAAAAGTGAATTGATGCAATTCCATGAAATTACACTTTGTACCCTTGCAAAGACGTTAGTGGAGCGTGTGTGGTTTACCGGCACACTAAATGGTTCTAAGCAAAGGTAGCAAAGGGCGACTCAATGTTTGTCATCGGTGGAGCGTGTGTGGTTTGCCGGCACATCGAATATGTGACTGTAACATGTGGGGGTACCATGTAAGTTTGCATGGTTATTCATACCCGCTTTGTGATCCTCGGCATCCCAATCAAAAACTAGAGGGGCATATCGAGATTTAAACATGCCATTGAAAAGTTCAATGAATCTCAAAAGATTTAGGAATTTTCAATAGATTTAAAACTTAAACTGTTTTTCGTTTTTCATGGTGGAAAATTAGTGAATCGTAATTCACTTACCTTCAAATATTCAGCAACTAGATTACGGCATCCCTTTTCTAGGTTGTAGCGTATTGTGTTGGGTCCTAGCCTTAATATCTCATTTGGGTGATTTATTAAGGACTCAATCTATCAACTAACTTGAATTTATTTTTCTCCCGTTTTGTAGATGTCAAAGTATGACAACTATGGTCTTCCCAAATCCCGTGAAACAAGCTTTCCACATGAAGATGATATTCCACGATTTGATCGAGGAACAAGAGATCATGCTTCACTTCCTCCTCCTCCTCCCGTTGTTCTCCCTAACCCACAAGATCGAAGAATTGAAAGGTTCAATGTCACTAAAGCCCTATTGGAAATGAAACATGAAGATGGTAAACCCATGTGTGCCCACCTTCTCGGAATGAAATCACACATCGATAGGTTGACAATGTTTGGTGCCTCATTCCCTGATAAGTTGGCTATGAACTGGGTTTTGCAGTCACTTCCTGAATCATATAATGAGTTCAAAAGAAAGTATTATATGATGGATTATGACGAATACCTCATTGACCTAACTTACATGCTCATTGCTGCTGAATCAGAAATGATTTGGCAAAACAATGGAGCGTATTTGTTGGGAAAGTCAACCAACCATGCTTCCGAGGACGTTCTAGGAGAACCGACCTGTGTTTTCTACCAAGTGAAAGGGCGTTGGATAAAAGTCTTCCCTAAGAGCATGAAGAGTCCAGAAGATGGGAGAGTCAAAGAGTATGGGTGTGCTTCAGGTAAAATCCACTATCTAACTCAATTAAGTTCCTATTCGTTGATTCTTAATACATAATGTGATAAGATTGCATTTGAATGTTTTGCAGGATCAATGAAAAGAGAGGAAGCTTGATGAAAGAGCAAGATGAATCTAATCACGA